GATGATGATGATGATTGGGATGATGAGGAGGAGGAGGATGATGATTGGGATGATGATGAAAAAAAAATGATAAAAACCAAATTTGTTATTAAAAACAATCAGCAATGTATCAATAACCACAACATAAAAAACCACACCCTAAATTATTATTATTCATCCGATGAAAATCTATTAATAGCCTAAGTTCTAAAAATAAAACAGAGCTAAAAACAAAAAACCCACCCCTTTCGATTATCGTGGAACTATCTGGCGTTGAAATCCTGGCTCTCTTCGAACTACTGCATCCACCATCACTACTACCGCTGCTACTACTAATGCCACACCTATTGTTGCGTATGAAGCTACCTCTACTGCTACCACTGCCGCTGCTGCTACTGATGCTGCAGCTAGCGTTCATTGGACTGCCGATTTGGTTGCTGTTGGTGGTAGTTGGTATGATGCCTTCGAGAGAGCTTAGTGTTGAATTTAACGATGAATGAAGTGATTAAATTTTTAATTAAATAAATTTTATTTGCGAGTAAAAATAATTTATGATTTACAATAAAACATAAAAAAACTAACAACACAAGAAATAACATAAGTAGGATCGTAGCAAAAGCAAAATATAATATCCAAAATTAAGGATCAGCCGATGGCAACATGAAAAAATTACGACCGGCAGTCAAATTTTCAAGTAAGACATACAAACTCTGCAAAAAATTCACACCGATACATTCACCACACAAACACACACACACACATACACGCACGCACAAACACAAACAGAGGCGGATCAAGACAACATTGATTGAGAGCCACCAAAAACTGCTAAATTTTGCTGGTGTAACCAAAATCAACAAGCAGCCTTTTTCCGCATTCCTCCCACACGAACCCGACAGAACGCTCACACGCCAGCGCACTTGATAAACATGACAAAAGTTACTTTGGTCTCCTGGATAGATATGCTGGAGCGCTCGATAGGGATGACGTCATCGTGGGCGATCCATTAACTTGGACGTAATTCTTAAAAAAATAATAGTGATGATGATGATGATGATGATGATGATAATGATGATGATGGTAATGATGATGATGATAATGATAATAAATAAATATTTTTAAAAATTTTCTTACGGCGTTTTTTATAGGGTTAATGGAGGGGGTGAAGAGGGTGGGTGCTGTGAAGACGTCTGCCATTGAATAGAAGTAGGATTTGTCGCAAGGCTTATGAGCTTGATCGTCTTCTTGGTTATAATTAAATAATATAATATATTTAAATATCATAGTTGAATAATATAATTTATGAAATATGCATGACGATAGATTATATTCACCTTCAAACTTCTTCGATTTCTTTTTTTCATCTTCTCTGGCTTTTCTATCGGCCCCCTGTCATCATCATCACCATCGTCATCGTCGTCACCAACTACGTCACCATCATCGTCATCATCATCATCGTCATCCTCCTCCTCATCATCATCATCCTTATCGTCATCATCACAATCATCACCTTGTCGGAAAAGACCTTGACCTGGCAATACGCCCTGTGCACTGGACTGCCCTTGACCTCATCAACGAATGTGTCAATCTGTATGTGTAGGGGATTTCCCTGAATAAATTATATATATATATATATATATATATATATATATATATTTACATATATATATATATATATATATATATATATATATATTACACATGTATTTATTCAATTGTTCGTTTGATAGTTCGTTTGTTTTTCGTCCATTCATATATATTCATTCGTTCATGCAATCATTCGTTCATTCATTTGTTCGTTCGTTCGTTTTGTTCGTTCGTTCGTTCGTTCGTTCGTTCGTTCAGTCATCCACTAAATAACCTACCCTGATTCCCTTCTGATGACTGAAGTCCGTACTGAGGCAGTGCAAGGCCAGGTTCAACTGAGGTCAAATAATAATAATAATAATGAAAACATCTTTTTATTTTCTAACTCCAAATACCAAATATTAATAATGGAATAATTATAAAATCCTATTTAATCTAAAATGCTCGTCACTGCAAGTGAGTACATTCTAGAGGGGCTGGTTTAATTGTTCAATTGGGGTTCAATCATTCTTATTATTCTTTATTATCATTCATTATTATTCTTATTAATATTATTCTTATTATTCTTATAATAATAAGAATAATATTATAGTAAAAACAATAACAATAACGATAATAACAACTACAACAAAAAAAGTCAACAGTAGCAGCAGTAGCAGCAGTAGCAGCAGCTTCACAACTCCGAAATGCTTAACATTTGCACCTTAACACAAGTGTTGGGGTACCAGGAGACGACAATGGCGTTGTGGGCAATCTCCTCAATCCAGTCTGGAGTGAACATGTGTTCGCGCGTTCCCACTGTTTTTGATTCTGTAGGCGTGCGTTGTGTGTGTGTGTGTGTGTGTCGGAGTTTGTATGAGTGTGTCTGGATTGATCATCGTCATTATTGTCTTCATCATCGTCATCATCATCATCATCATCATAATAATAATAATAATAGTCATTTTTATCATCGTCGTTGTCATCGTCGTCACCTATATCAAGGGCCCTCTGCTTGTAGCTTTGCTGTCGAGAGTGCCAGCAGTCCCAGGCCCTGACCTCCTCCCCCTCTGCTATCCAATCACGAAAGACCAACATTATCATCGACTGTTTGTGGTGATGGTGTTAATGACGATAACAACAACAACAACAACAAAAACAGCCCTAACAACAACAACAACAATAACTATAACAACAGCAATAATATTATTAACAATATTACAATAATAACAGCAAGCATATAATTGTTATTAATATCAATAAGAATAATAGTAATAAAAATAAGAAGGATGACGATGATGACGACCTTCAAACATCCAACCGACTCATCAATGAAACTCTCTTCGTTGGGGATGTGATTCATCACCAGTGTGTAATATTGGCCTATAAAATCGTTTTATAATAACTATTATTATTATTACTATTATTATCGTTATCGTTATTATTATTATTATAAGTAGTAGTAGTAGTAGTAGTAGAAGTAGTAAAGTAGTAGAAACCCAGCTTCCGTAGCAGCAGTTGTATTAGTAGTAGAAGCAGCAGCAGCAGCAACAACAGTAGTAGTAGTAGTAGTTGTGTAGTAGTGGTAGAAATAGTAGTAGTAGTGACGGTAGCAGTAGTAGTAGTGGTATCATCATTTGTATCATCATCATCATCACTATCTTCATCATCGTCATCTTCATCACTAT